CCCCAAAACCCCCAAAACCCCAAAACCCCAAGGTCGAAATTAGTAAATTGTCAACTATTAATAAAGTTAATAGATTAAATACCATCTAATTAAGATAATGTGTTGCTTTTGATTAATCCCTCACTATGATTATTTCTCTAAGTTCATAATACATTTACTGATACTGAAGTCCTCCTTGGTTCCATCATTCCTAACGACGAAGAAGCATCTGGTCTTTTCATAGTTTGGATGTTCACCGGCCTCAAAATGACCGAAGTCCTTGAACTTAGAATCATGTTTATCGTGGAATTTAATAAGTTCCTTAATGAACTCTTCGTCATTGCCTGTAAGCTTCTCTCCGTCTTTCTTGATTGTGAGGATAGCTCTTGCCTTTGACTTTACTTTACTAATATCAGTGTAATAGACACCAGCAATTTCGAAACTCAGCTTGGCTCTCTTTGAACCGTTATCGTTACTAGTCCCAGCGTCTCTCTTTTATTGCTTTGCTATCTTCTGCTATTTCTTGATATTTCTCAACTTGGGCTGAATACAGAACTAGTAATGACCACCTTGCTTTTGCCAGAAGTCCTTCAATTCCTCTCCAGCAGTCTTGATGAAAGTAAAGTTCTTTTCTTACACCTTAAGGGTAGCTGATGTGAGCTTTTCTAAGTTGACTTGCTTTAGTTTGTGAGATGAAATAGCGAGATCACCTTCGTATTGATCAGCTCTCGAGTACACAATCTTCAATAAGGGGTTCTTCTATTTAACTTCATTCTCAATCTCTTTCCAGTTGACTTTGAATCCATCGCCATCCTTGGCTTCGGTCTTGAAATGAATAATGATTGGGTTCTCGAAATCTGCATTGACTAAGATGTGATTTCCTCTCTCATCTAACTGAATGGTGTCATCCTCAGCATCGCCCTTTTCCTCTTCTTTAGATTAAGCTTTAACATCTCTCTTCTTTTAGCCTTCTTTGTGAATAAGCTCTGGAAGTGCTTTCTTTCCAACTCTTCTGACTTTCTTTCCGTCTTCAGAGACTTCCACTTCTGAGGAAGATTTCAATGATGCTGCGATCTCAGCTTCCTTGATTCCCATTCTCTTGATTTTATTACAATTGAGGATATCAGCAATGTCGAGCCAGTGCTCAACGTTTCCAGATATCTTGGAGTGGAAGAAGCTATCGTTGGCTAAGTTCTTGTCTGAAAGGTAGAACTCGACCTGCTTTTTGATTTCTGCTTAATTGGCTGACATAATTATTAAAGTGCTGCTATTTAGTAGTATAGTTGAATATAATTAAAATAATAACTAACTAACAAATTAGTCTCAAATTAATACTTTAATTAGCCAATATAATCTGTTCAATCAGCATCAATCGTCGCCCTAACTCAAAGTTTGAATAATAAGCATTATTATACTCAAAATTTTCTAATTCTAGAGGGAGTAATATCTACTGGATTGGAGTTGAATTGAATCTTGCAAACATCTTCAAAAGCTATTCCTATCTTTGCCCTGACCTCTTTTATTCCAAACATGTGATCTGCACTTGTGAGATGCACTTCTGGGTAAACAAATTTCCTGTATTTCTATAATTGACCAGTAGTGTCAGTAACCACCTTGATGATATCAGTTCTATCTCTTATCTAATCAATTTTAGTAAGAACGACTTAGACAGGTTTATTAAAATACTTCAGATCTTCTAGAGTTTTGATGTCATTAGATTTTAAGCCAAATTTCCCATTTACCAGAAGCATTATCATATTGATCCTTACACCGAACCCCAGATATTTAAACACCATTTTCCTCCATTTTTCCTTGAGGTGAATTGGAGCAACTACAAACCCATAGCCAGGAGTGTCCACTATTATCCCTCTTTTCTTTTTCATTATCTTGTGTTAAGCTAGATAGAAGTTCAACTCTTGAGTCTTTCCACTTGTCTTAGCTGTATATGCTATTTCATGTCCATTATTTAGAGCATTAATCAGAGAACTTTTGCCTACATTCGCACTACCCATAATAACCACTTCCTTAAGATCTGGATAGTCATCATAAAATAAATAGTCATTTTCTTTAACCCCTTTAACAAAGTCATTTATACGCTTATAGTCAAGAGTGTGAACTAACTTCAAGCCATTCTCCTCTTGATTACCTCTAGGGGAAACAAAGTAGTTAGTTCCCTACTGTAAAAACTGTTATTTTAGCTCCAATTCAGCCTACTCTTTAAAATCCATCATAAGTTCAAACTTTCTATATTATTAATCGATATGCTTCATTTATCCGACCTTTTTCTATAAGGAAGCTTTTGTCTCCTCTTCTGATTAAACTGTGACTTCATTTATATCCTATTCTATTGTATGCAAAGGCTAGGTAACAGAAGATTGTTCCAAAACTCTCATGATTTAATCAGCTTTATCTTCAAGACTAACATTAGCATTGTTACTAGTTGAGAATGCTCTTCTCAAAAGCTAGGAATTCCTAAATAATTTCTAAGCCATTAATCTTTAATTTATTAACATTTTAGTTCAAAGCAATATAAATACTTCAATAATGATTAAAACATCAAGTATTAGGTAAAATAATTCTATCATTCAATCTAAGATCAAACTTTGAAGGTCGAATTTCGTCAAATATCTTAGTTACTCTTGCCAAGACCTTCATCTTAGCCTTTATTTCCTCCACTTGCTGCTGATTTGTGCCCAGCTTTGCCAATATCTCCTGCTGCATTAGTATTGTTGCCTCCTTTATTTATTTTGTTTGTTGTATCGTTATGTTCTTTCTTTGGGATTGTCCCTGATTTTTAATTGATTGCCTAATTTCCACCCATATTAGTATTTTGCTTATTGTTCGCAGCTGTGGTGTTGAATAATGCCTCTGTATATGCCTTATCTCTCTATTGATAAATTAGTAAACTTTTTAAAACTTACATCATAGTTATTGTCAATAATCTTAAAGACTTCGACTAGATCCTCAATAACTTCGCTCGACATTTCAAGTCTTTCAATCAAAACTTGAACCAAGTTTGGGGTCAATTCATTTACGTCATCTAATTTAATGTTCTTCATTTTTCCTCTCTTATGTTATTGGCCTCTGCAAATTGTGAAGATATTATTGATGGAGTTTATTATCTAGCCGATTTCCTTTGAATTCTTGTTTTTCTTGTTGATCTCATTTTCGAAATCTTGCTCTAAAGCTGAATTTTTTTCTGAAATCTAATTGCATGTATAAAATAAAAAGAATATACCTTTTCTAGCTCTTATTATAGACTTTGCATCCTTCTTTGCATTTCATATAGATTATTTTATAATGAATTCAAAGTGGTCTTTTCCCTTGTTCTCGCCTCTTCCATCTCCTTGTTTATTAGTTGTTTCTATGATAATCGATAAATCAAAGATAACATACTCTTTTCATGAGTTTTTGATTCTCACTCTTCAAGTTCTTGAATCTGTTTTGAAGGTCATCAATATCTTAAAACTCCTTGTTATCACCACTTTCATTCACCACATCCTATCTCATTAATTATTTCATTGTAGCTTACCTCAAGGAACTTGTTGAATTTCCTGTGTCTCTCTAATTCCTCTCTCTTTTCTCCTAATTTAGTCTTTTTAACTTCAAGCTTTTTTTCTAGTTCTACTATTTATGCCTTTTTCTGCTCAATGGCGGCCTTTTCCTGTTCTAACTTAGCCTCCTCATTTTTCCTTTTGTTAGCGTTTTGAGTAATAACAGAGATCTGATCTCTTACATAGTTAATCATGTTTTACTGCTCCTTTTTAAACTCATTTTTTCTTCTTTCCAGTTCTTGTGCCTGCTGAATGATATCTTCTTTTTAAGTTGAGAACTTATCATCAGTTTCCCTTTCCTCTCTTTCCTTTTGTAAAAGTCTAACTGCCTGTAATGGTCTCTAACCTAAAAAATGCAAATAAAAATTAGAACGGAAATGTAATAGTGTATTGAGTAGTTCGAATTTTCTTATATTATCTTACTTTAAACAACATAGGCTCTGACTTTATTCAAATCTTCATCATTGATCTTTGATTTGTTATTCTTTTAAATGCTCTTGTTTATTCTTCGGAAAAGCTCTTCAATCTCAGCTTGTTAATTTATGTTCATATTTTTGTTTGTTTTAGATTTACTTCTAGTATTATTAGAGATTATAAATTTAAATTAAGAAAAATCTTAACTTCTTAAAATTATGGAGCTCGAACCGTTACCCAAGGTTACTTTCTTGCCAGCTCAACTTACTGAGCTTGTCATCAGAAACTGGACTGGTGATATAATCGATTTCGAGAAAAATGGATAAGTAAGACTTCCCAGTTGCTCTAATATGAGATTTTAACAATTATGTGTAGATTTGCAAGGTTTATCATGGACAAGGTACATGTGAATTCAGAGAAGGACACACATTTAAAGGTGAATTAAGATACGGTCTCCTTCATGGAAAGGGAGAGTTCGTGTGGGTTGATGGAACTAAGTACAAAGGTGAATTTAGAGACAATGAAATCACTGGAAACGGCAGATATGATTGGCCAGATGCAAGCTTCTACGAGGGGCAAGTTCTTAATGGTCTGAGACATGGCAAGGGTACCTACACAAACCCAAAAGAGGGAGTTGTCTATGAAGGAGAATGGAAGAATGGTCTAAGACATGGAAATGGTATCTTGAAGTACAGAAATGGCAGTGTCTACGATGGTCTCTGGGAAAGAGGTATGAAGTGGGGTTAGGGCAGAATGACATATGCCAGCTAAAACTACTACGAGGGAGATTGGAAAAACAATAAGAGAAACGGAGAAGGAACCATGCACTGGCTGACCAGCAATGAAAAATATACTGGAAACTGGGAAGAAAACTATCAAAGTGGGTTTGGTACTCATATCTGGCTTGAAGGAAGTGGCGACAACAAACTGCTTAGAAATAGATATGTGGGTTACTGGAAACTTGGCCTAAGAAACGGACAAGGTACCTTCTATTACTCAAATGGAAGTAAGTACGAAGGAGAATGGAAAGACAACCTCAAGAATGGATACGGAGTATTCACCTTTGAGGACGGTACGTCTTATTCAGGGCCATTTGAAAACGACAGAATGGTAAATAGAACACTTCAAGGTGTGACTGCAATTCAATCTCAGTAATAGCCAACTGATGAAGGAAGAAGCGTTGCTGAAGAAAAGAAGTCAAGTGAAAAGTCTGCTACAACTAAGCCAACCTAGCAAACTAAGCCAGCTTCAGGCACAAGTCCAGAGAAGAAGGCATTGAACGCGACAGCTAAAGATACTAAGCCAGGCAACACCACCTCAATGGGATAGACAGTTGGTTCTCTAGCCAATCAAACCTAAAACACTAAGTTCTTAGCTGCAAACAGATCAAAGAAAGACGTCGAGCAGAATCCATTCAAGACTCTGATTGACATCACTGACTTGATAGAATTCGAGCAAAACCCTACTGAAGTTGAGAAAGAAGTTCAGAACATTCTACTAAGAAACAATAGTGACATGAAAGCATGGTACAAGTACTATGCCAGGAAGGTTGAGTCTCAAAAGTCTGAGGAGAGTTTTGCCCTTACGCTAAGACAGATTTGGAGGTTCCTCAGAGATTGCTAGATCATTGGCCCTGATGCTACTATTGCATCATTTGACAGAGTTTACTTCCAAGGAAAGAAGAATCACTTTACCCTGCTAGGCCAAAAGGATAAACATAAGTTCAACTACATGTAGCCAGCAAAGGGAGAGGATCTTTTGAAAGGAGAAGACCTTGGAGCCAACGAGATTAGCCACAGAGGAGATACCAAGAAAAGAGATAAGAATCTTGAGATCGACGATAGTGTGATTAAGAAGCCAGAAGATGAGTCTGAGGATGACGAGGAAGAAGAAGAGGATGCTGAGTCACTCAAGAAGATGTTCAATGTCGAGGCTGAGGATCTTCACTAGTCTACTAAGTAAGCAAAATATGCTTATTAATCTTTCTAGGGTTGTTTTGCAAAGACAGTTCTTTGAGGCTATAGTCAGAGCTGCTTCAGTCAAGTACTCTAATAAAGCTGAGTATCCCACTCTAGCCGATAAGTTAGAGAATTTGTTCAAGACTAAGCTTGCTCCAAACTCAACTAAAAACAAAGCCAAGTCACTTGAGGAGGAGGTAGGATATATCACCTGTTTAATTATGACTATAGAAATAATTCAAAATCGCTGAGAAGGTATTTGAAGAGTATGAGTCACAACTTAAGCAAGTGTTTTCATTCTTTTCTAAGAGAGGCAAATCCTCGTCTTTCGGAGTTGAGGATATTACCCTGGAGGTAGATGACCTAATCAACATGTTTAAGAAGACTGAACTTCTTGGAAGCGGAAACTCGACTGATTCCAAACCTAGACCATTGCAACTAAGCGACTTAATCTCATCTGTTGAGAAGTACTATGGTCCTGATTCAAGACTTGAAGCTAAACTTACAAATGAGCAGTTCCAATCATTCATGAAAAACCTTCACGCTCACCAAGCTAAGGAACAGTAAAAGCTTGCTGCATCTAAGTCAAAGGATGGTAGTCACCATGAAGCATCTAATGGGAATATCAGTTCACATCACGATGATGAGGATGAAGAAACTAAGAAGAGGAGAGAAGAAGATGAACTTAGATAATCTCATGAGAAATGGAGAAAGCAGATTATCTCCCAGCATCTAGTCTTTGTAAGAGGAGTTGAAATCGTCTTCTTTGAGTTCAAGGAAATCTTACTAGACCTTGCTCTCAGATTGAGAGACTTCATCGACCCTAAGACTGGAAAGATCAAGGTTGTCTTAACCAAGTTCATTGAAGATATTATCTTGAAGAACTTAAATCCTTACATTAAGTTCAATATTCAGCCAGGCAAAGGAGGCAGTGGGGCTGCAAGAGTCTGGCCAGAGAGCTAAAAAGACAAAGAGATCAAAGTGAAGTTGGAAGAAAAGAGAAGAAAGGAAGAAGAGGAGAGAAGAAAGGTTGAGGAAAAGCAGAGACAGGAAAGAGAATTGCAGAGAATGGGTGAGGAAGATACTCCTGCACTTGACTGGAAGCAAGTTGAAGAACTTAGAAGAAAGATGATTGAGGAAGAAGAGGCTCGCAGAAGAGCTGCCGAGGCTGAGGAAGAAGATGAAGAGGAGGACGAAGATGAAGATGATGATGAAAACAAGCACGATGATGATGATGATTATTGATCACAGAGTTAACAGTATTCTATTTTGAATAGAATTCAATACTCGGACTTGATCAGTTTTAACTAAGCCAATTTAAAACAAAATTGATTAATAAAAATTCAATCGCTATTGCCACCATCAATAAAACTATTCAGCTGGGGTTTTGGGGTTTTGGGGTTTTGGGGTTTTGGGGTTTTGGGGTTTTG